CAATTCTCTGACTCTTAACTTCTTTTATATTTATGATTCCATTTCGGTTTTGGCAGTATATCTATTGTATCACTGAGAAGTATCCATTTCACTGAGATTTAACATTTTATTAGCATAACATTTTACATAGTGTTCTTTATAATAATCTTCCTTTGTATTATATACTCCCTTTCTTCCAATTTGATATTTTATCTCTCTTTTTAAATACACTTTTAAAAATTAAGTTCTTTATTTTAGATATACAGAAACATTACAAAGATGGCACACCTCTCATGCCCTGAATATCCAATTTCCCCTCTTATTAACATTTTACTTTAGTATGATTCATTTGCTGCAATTAGTGAGGGTGACTCATTATTACTAACTGCAGTGCATACTTGCTTCACCTTTCTTTGGTTTGTGCCCTGTGCCCCCTTCCTGTTCCAGGCGCTCATCCAGGGAACCATGTTACACTCAGTTGTTATGTCTCTGTAGGTTCTTTTTTTCTGTGACAGTTTCTAACTTATTTCTGATGAATTTGGCAATTTTGAGGAGGACTTGTTAGGTCTCTTGGGGAATGCCTCTTATTTGGGCTTTGACTGATGTTTGCTCTCATGGTAGATTGGGATTATATGTTCTTGGGAGGAAGACTACAGAGGAATAAAAGTGCCCTTTTAATATCATCAGTTCTAGAGTGTGCACTGTTAACACGATTCTATCTGAGAACTTTCCACCAAACCCAAGGTCATGTAGCTATGTTCTCTACTGTTTCTTTTGCTGTTCTATGATTTCACATCTTACATTGAAGTTTGTAGTTCATTTGTAGTTCATTGGTTTTCTATGTGGTCTCTTCCTTTCATATTAAGTCATGGGACAGGAAGGTGGGGAACCAAGTTTACCTTGCTTCATCAGCAGTCTTACCTGGTCCTTGACTCTTCTTCTCTATCCCTTTTCCATTATTCGTTAATGGTAATTGGTCTTAGATTCTGGCAATAGATACTCATCTAGTGGGCTTAAAATTATATTCTGCCACTCAGATATACAGAGTTATTTCTACACCTGAACCCAGTTTATGAATTCACTTCTATACTTTTATTTCTGTTCTGTAGAAATAGGGAAAACATTCAAGATAGATAATTTCTAGTTTAAATCTGAATACCTTTCAAGTCAACTCAGTTCCTTTTAGGTAACTGTTTGGTTATTCAAGGTTTCTTTCTATCCTCTGCTTTTCTCCCTTCCTTTTCTCAGAGTGGTACCTGGGCTGGAACGGGCCTAGCATCCTCTCCTCTGATCCTTCCTTTTGTCATAGAAGTATCTTGTCCTGCTTTGATGCTATAAACTTGCTTGGGCATTTGTCGACTTGTGTTGTTTCTATTTTGCCTTTCGGCATTTGCTGATAACATACTCTTCTCTAACCCCCTCATCAGGAGCTTCTGGTTTACCAGAGTTTCTGGGAACTCCTGGATCATCTTCATGCCAGGCAGCTATGGGGAATTTTGTGTGTGTATGGTGTTGGTATGAGTAAGAATTAACTTGATGGTGACTGATTTTGATCTGATCTCCCTGTAAACATGCATCAGTGCTGTAGCTGTCCTGGGAAGGTGTGGAGCCCTCTGTTCAGACCCCTCCTTCCCAGAGTGTACAGGGGGGCAGAGCCTAGCCTGCCCTGGTTTTCCTTAAACTTTTTCAACTGCAAAATTTTGCCTCCATGAGGAAGTGTCTCAGAGCAGCCTCATATAGGGCACTTGTGTCTGCTTTAAATTGACCCTTTCTCATGCTCTTCTAGATCCTCCTCTTTACCTGGGATGGGCTTTTGTTCTCTCTCCAGATGGCACAAAACTCCTTCAATAACATAACCTTCATCTACAAGAGTTCTTGTTAAAGCTCTGTGCCCCGTTCTCTGACTTGTGACCAAACCCATTGCCATCCAACTATTTCTTTAAATTTTATTTTAGTATTTTTTTTTGGTGTGTGTACCATCAAATTGGATCTGACTAGTACAGCAGGAGATTACCCCTCCTTCTCCAGAAGAAAATCTGGTGGATTCAGTCTGTGTACCTCTGGGGTTACAGTGCAGCTTCTTGACACTAGGCCACTACAGCTCTCTGTGCCATCCAACTATTTCTGCCTTATAGTGGCCCCAAAGGTCAGAGTGGATCTGCCCTAGAGAATTTTCGCAGAGGCTATAAAACTTTATATTCTGTGCGCAGTCCTCTGAGCTTTAACTCTTATCCAACTTGCTGCTATCTGCTGAATTCCAACTATGGGACAAAGTAGAAGTGCTCATAGGGTTTCCACTGAGGAAACCTCTTTCTTTACAGAAACTCCTTTTTTATAAGAGCTGGTGGGTTTGAGCTACTGCTGTTGCAATTAGCAGCTCAACACTTAATTCACTAAGTCACCTAGGGCTCCTTCTAATACTATTTTTTTTTATTCTAATATTGTTATAAAACCCAACCCCAACCCACTGTCGTTGGGTCAATTCTAATCATAGAAACCCTCCATCATGTTTCCAAGGCTGTCAATGTTTATGGAGGAGACTGCCCATTTTTATTCCACTAAATGCCTGGTGGATTTGAATTGCCAACCTGTTTCGGTTAACACCCAATACATTAAGCACTGTACCACTAGGACTATACTGTTGTAACAAAAGAAATGCCCATGTCAAGGGTTGCATTTAATTGCCATCAGAGATTGTACAAAGATTCCTTTGTGATGAGTATTAGAATTTAGCTTCTAGGGCACTTGCTTTGTGGGAGGGTGAGGTTGGTACCAGGAACCCTAACTCCATTTTGAGTTTTGACATGAGTTCTGATGCCAGTTGCGTTCTCTCTGACCATAAAATTTACCATGTGGCTGTGCTTAGCAAGTCTGGGCAGGCTCAGAGAACAGCAGTTTGCCTTCAGGAAGAATATAGTGGAGAGCGGATTACAAATCCCAGACAAGCCTAGGGAGGGGCGGCTCACCCTCAGGTTTGCCTGGGGAGCTGGGGAACTTGCCTGGATGTGTCTTGAATGATTTACAGAAAATAAATAGCCAAATGTTATTGAGTTATAATTATAAATAGAGGTCCTGGTGACATGGACTCAAGTCCATGTGGTCACCTGCAGCCAGGAGGCTCCAGCCTGAAAATTGGGCTTCTTTGATTTTTTTTAAAGAAAATCTGAAATTATGTATGTATCCCATCATCGTCCTTTGCTTGATTCCCTAGTCCTCCCTGGGAAGTGATGTGTTGTTTCTGGCACCAGTTATGATGTGAGGAGATGATGGTTTCCTTTGTCTCCAATCAGATAAATAAAAGTGATGGCTGTGAATGCTCACACTCCTTAGGCATCATACTGACAGTTTCTCTCATTCCAGAATAATTATCTGTGTCCTCTTTAAAGGCTAAGAAAAGAGTCTCTGTGGTCCAGTGGGTAAAGAGTTGCTTTGCTAGCCCAAAGGCACGAGCTTTGAACCAACCAGCTGCTCCAAGGGAGAAAGATGGGCAGTCTCCTCCTGTGCAGTTTACAGTCTCTGAAAACACTATGAAAACTGAAGGGCCAACTCTGAGTCGGTTCTGCCTCAGTGACAGTGGGTTGTTGTTGATAGAATATGTTTAGGAGCTGGTACGGTCAGGAACATGTTGTGCTGTTAAACAAAAAGGAATGTGCCTCAGGTGATTGGAAACCACCAGAGGCTGCAAGAAACAATGGGCAGTCTCCACCTGTGAAGATTTACAGCCTCAGAAAAACTCAGTGAGGGGTTGCTATGAGTTGATATTGATAGGACGGTAGTGCACTGAGAATATGTTTGAAGCTGGGTGTGTTTTTTCCCTTAGCACTTTGTGAATCTAGATGCTCCCTAAATGAGGAAAACAGAATTGAGAAACTTTTATTTATATCACAAGTTCTGCATTTTAAATTTAGTGATGTTTGTGTATTGAGGATAAACATATCCTTTGTCAGAATCCTCTTTGTCGTTACGTCCCATCAAGTCAGAACTGACTCATTGCTGACCCTCCAGTAGATTTTCAGAGGCAATAAATCACACGAGAAGAGATGGCCAATCTTTTTCCCATGGGGCAGCTGAAGGATTTGAACTTCGATTGGCGACACAACGCTGTACTTCACCTTAGAGGATGTGCTTCCGTAAGTCATGGCTCCTGCAACATTTTAAAATCTAGTCATGTTTTCTGAGGCAAAATATTTCTGTGTCACAACCTGGTAGATTCTATCATGTTAAGTATATAGATATGGATATAGATATATAGTTTAAAAAACCTATTGAAGTTATTTTCAAATAATTAAGTCAGCTAGCAACAAAATAGGGATCTCTGGTGCCCTGCTCAGTGAAGAGTTGCACTGTACCATCTGCTCCAAGGCAGAAAGAAGGACACTCTCCTCTGGTGTGATTTTCCAGCCTCTGAAATTAGCTGAGTCATTTCCCACTTGATGGTGATAAATACCAAATACGATTTCCCTAAATAAAAAAATAAATTTCAGTGAAACTTGGAAAAAGAAAAAATCCCACAATTTCCTATACACTTGATGAAATCAGCCTTCACAGAAGGATAATTTAACTGCTGAAAGTCTCCAAAACTTTCTTTTTAAAATAGTCTTCTATGTCAGTGACTGATCATCTGTTTGAAATCTGACAGTGTTTACATTGAGGCTCTGAAATAAAACAGCAAAACACAATTACAGTTACTTAAATGTGCATTGGAATTTGGATGTATTATCTTTGGGGAGTTAAATGTGTGATATTTTAACATTCCATTATATACCCTCTTTGCCCTTGAATTCTAGAGAAATACAGCGTGACTATTGTGACTTTGTTGTTTATTTGGGTGTCTCATGCATACTGAAGTAACTGTCATTTCGATTTGGAAGTGACATTGTCTTAAGAAACTTGTGTGCATGGAAGAGGTTAAGAAATATTGGGTCTAATATATAAAAGAAAACTTTACAACCATTGTATACATAATTTATTTGTTTTATGTGTGTTGGTATTGAACATCTGGTTTTTTTTAAAATCAATAGATCATTCTTGCTATGAAGATGAAGAAAGCTTTTCTCCAGTATTTCACACTCAGGTCATTGTAGAGGAGTATGAAAACCATATAAGGGATACTGACCAAGGTATGCTTTGATATGTGTGTGTATACTATCTGTGAAAAATAGCCAGAGATTAAATTATTTTATATAATTTGATCTAGAAATGGGTGGGCTTCTAGATGAAACACTATTGGCCATGGTTTCATCATTGTTGAAGCTAAGTTTTAGGAGTTCATGATGCCATTCTGCCTTCCTTTGAGATATCAATTTTTTTATAATAAGGAGTTTGAAAAATTTGACTGCAAGTAACCAAGTAACAGAAACTTTTCCTTGAACAACAAAACTATTTACTGAAAGAATGATAGCTGTATGTAGCTTTTTTTTTTTTTTTTACCAAGAAAATATGCTATGGTTAGTCATTAAAAGGGAAACTTATTCCAAAATTCTAGGGGAGACTAACTGATCTAATTTGGATCATGTGTCTATCCCTGGTCCAAACTACTACTCTAAACAACCCAGCAAACGTTTGGGGTCATACTAAGAATATGTCAGCTTCTGCTGCCTTATTATCTAAATTAGGAGAGAGAGGACATTTCTAGAGAGAGAATTCTGGCCAGGTAATCCAATACTTTTTTCTTTACAAGTTATTAAAAGTGTATTTGAAGGAAACTTCATAAAAAATTAAATAGTTGCATTTAATTTCAGTTATATTGTTATTTGAAAATATATAAAATTTCAACTGAATGAATAAGCCTTATTTAAGTTTAAAAGACTACAGAACTTAATTATGGGGGAAAGATAATATGTTCTATATCTTAGATGCATTTTGTATATCTAAGGTGGCTACTCATCAGAAAAGTAACTACATTTTAGCTATTATTTAATTTTAAAAATAATTATGAATAAAACTCAAAATTCATTGCTGTCAAGTTGGTGCTGACCCAAAACTGATCCCCCATTGGATTTCTGAGACTGTTAGTTACAGTCTAAGATTTCCCATCTGTCACTAGGAGCTGATTCAAGTTGCCACACTCCACAGCCTAACTCCCTATTCTGTATGTTGTTGTTGATGTGTACATATTATATATATTGTTGTTGTTGATGTGTACCTATTATGTATATTGTTGTTGTTGATGTGTACCTATTATGTATATTGTTGTGTACCATCGAGTCAGAACTGACCTTTAGTTGACCCTCCAGCTGGTTTTCAGAGGCAGTAATTACACGGGAGAGGATTGCTCATCCTTCTTCCATGGAGCAGCTGGTGGATTCAAACTGTGTGCCTAATTGATTTGTTCTTTCCCCTAGAAACTCATAATTTACCTTTGAGTAAAAGAACTTTTTTTAGAGTGTTGGAAAATAATTTAAATACAGAGGTCATCCTTTTTTTTTTAAGCTCGCTGTTGTCATCACAAGTTATTTAATGACTAAATCATCATTGCCTCTTTGATAATTAGCTATAAATAAATACACCAATGGACAATGTCTCTTGATTCTTTTTCTTGATGTAATCTTTCCAACAAAACAAAGGTAACTCATATGTAAACCTTCTCTGGATTGAGCTACTGGCTGGTGTTTTTTCCCTCTTGGATTTTAATGTGGCAATTTATTCCATTATATAGGATAGACTCCTTTTGTGACTTAAGGGAACTCATCCTTTTTATGTATATTTTTGAAACTTTTATAGACTAGTTTTAAAAGTTTTCAGTGTTGCAAGGATAAACACAGTGTACTTAGTTAAGGGAAATTAGAATCTAAAAGAACCTGGTATTTGATTACTCAAGGACTGAAAATCTCAGAGGTTTACTCAACTGTTTAACCAAAGTTTTAGGAAAAACTGCCACACTGAATGGGAATCTATACAAATTACACAAATAGAATGTAACAACCCAAGAGATTTATCCTAGTTCTTGCTTAAAAGACATATTTGAGCAAAAAGTTTGTTGTTAAGTGAAGCAAATACATGTGGGAAGAAATGCCAGTCTTTAGGGAGGTTTTTATCTTTTTTTAAAATGGTAGTTTGAGTGACAATTACAAAACAAATTAATTTTTCATTCAATTATGCATACACATTCTTTTCTATAACACTAATTTTAGTATCAACAATGAAAGAATACTTTCCTTTAGAAAGTTTTGTTTTATATAAGATGAAAATAAAATCTATTTTAAAATCCCCATATCATAAAGGACTTCTAATTTATAGGTGTCACTTGAAGTTCTTTTCATATTTTTTCCAAGGAATCAACCACAAGAAGTTTGATACATGCTAATAAAGAAAAAAACTTTATGAGTATGTTACGGGAAGTTATGGTAGCACATTTTTCTAAGATTAAGTCTCCATTTCTATTAGATTTCTGGTTATGAAATTCAGAAGCTATTTATTCTTTATTTATTTTAGTATATACTTGCATATCCTCTGAGATGGATTTTAACATAATTGGAAATTATAAAAACATTTTGAACTTACTTTTTAAATATTAGGTTTTACCAATGATGTGGAAGGAAATAATTCACTGATCAAATCAGATAAGAAACCTCTCTCAAGTTCAGAAAACACTGGACTCAGGGGAAAACATAACCAGGATTTCATTAAGAGGAACATTGAGGTATGTACTCAGACATTCAGAAGCTACAATGTGTGACTCATTGAGTTGTACTTATTGAGATATTTTTGTTTTCACCACAATACATGCAAAATAGTACGCATAACTGAAAAGCTTTGCGAACTAGTGACATTAACATGTCGCATTTGATGCATTGTCTATTCTATTCTATCTTACTTTATTTTACCCCTTTGCTAATGTGCTGTTTGTATCTTAAGAAATTAACTACTTAGGTAGCAATCTGGAGCTTAGAATTTATAAAATGTTTGTATAGATAATATCCCTGGACAATGATTCCAGATTTTATATTGTATGTTAATAGGGGTATACAAGGAATGAGGTTGATTTTTAAAGCTGTTGACTTTGGAAATTTAAATGTGGCAGAGCAGTTTGAGCTGACGAGATCAGCGGCTGACTGCCCCGTGTGCCTCCCGCCAGCCCTTCTGTGCTGAGCGTTCTGCTGAAGAGCTGGTTTGGCAGGTGCTGCGGCCTGACTCAGCTCGTCCTCAGGATAGATTCTGACTAGGCAAGTCTTTTATTTGGGTAATTTTAATTTGCTGTTGTTAAATGTGTCATTGAGTAGTGTTGTCTAATGTGCCATTGAGTTGGAATCAGCTCATAGCTGTTCCTCCAGTGGGTTTGAGAAGTTATGCTCATGCAATACCTGTACCCAGATCAAGATCCTGCTGTACGAACAGAGCGAGGGAACACAGCCTGGTTTAAAATAAAGGTGTGTTTCAGGGTTATATCCTTTCTCCACACTTAGTCAATCTGCGTACCAAACAAATAACTCAAGAAGCAGAACTCTATCAAGAAGAATATGGTATTAGGATAGGAGGGAGGCTCATTAACAACCTGCATCATTCAAATGACACACTTTGCTTGCTGAAAGCGAGTAGGATTTGAAATACTTCCAATAGAAGATCAAAGACTTCATCCTTCAAAATAGATTTCATCTTAATATCAAAAAGACAAAATCTTTACCACTTGGCCAATAAGCAACATTACGGTAAATGGAAAAAAAGGTTGAAATTGTCAACTATTTAATTTTACTTGGATCCACAATTAACATCCTTGGCAATAGCATTTAAGAAATCAAACTACAGCGTTCAGAAAGTCTGCAGTCAGGGACCTTTCCAAAGTACTGAGAAGCAATGATGTCAGCTTAAAGACCAAGATTTGCCTCATTCAGGCCATGGTCTTTTTTATCACTACCTATGCATCTATTGGTGGACTATTTATCAACAATCTGCGTTATGTGGATGACACAACCCTGCTTGCTGAAACTGAGGAGGACCTGAAGCGCCTGCTGCAGAGTGTCAAGGACTGCAGCCTCCAATATGGATTGAGGCTCAATGTCAAGAAGACAAAGATTCTCACCACTGGACCAATTGGCAGCACCAGGATGGATGGTGAAGAGATTGAGATTGTACACAGCTTTAGCTTGCTTGGCTCCACAGTCAACAGTCTTGGCACCAGCAGCCAGGAAATTAAAAGGTGCATTGCCATGGGAAAGTCTGCTGTTAGGGACCTCTCCAAAGTGCTGAAGAGCAATGGTGTCTCTCTGGAAACTAAGGTGCGTCTGATACAGGCCATGGTCTTCGCAATCACCTGTTATGCATCAGAGAGTTGGACAATGGCCAAGGAGGATAGAAGGAGAATTGATGCCTTTGAGCTGTGGTGCTGGAGAAGAGTATTGAGAATACCATGGACTGCTAGGAAAACAAACAGATTTGTCCTGGAAAGGGTTAAACCGGGTGGTTCCTTGGAGGCAAGGATTCTGAGGCTCCATCTGACATACTTTGGACATGTTGTGAGGAGAGACAGGTCCTTGGAGAAGGACATCATGCTTAGGAGGGTGAAGGGACAGCGCAGGAGAGGAAGGCCGTCTATGAGGTGGATTGATTCAGTGACTGGGATAATTGCGATGGGAGTGTCGGAGACAGTGTGATTGGCACAGGACAGAGCGGAGTTTAGGGCTGTTGTACATAGGATCGCTATGAGTCGCAAGCGACTTGATGACGTATAACAACAATAACAACAATGCATCTATGCTGGACTATGAGTAAAGATGACAGAAGAAGAATTGATGCCTTTGAGTTGTGGTGTTGTAGAAGAGTATCCTGTGAATATCCCATGGACCGTCAAAAGAACAAACAGAAATGTCTTGGAGAAAGTGTGGCCAGAATGCTTTTTGGAAGCCAGGATAGAGGAGTTTTATCTCACATACTTTGGGCATATTGTGTGGAGAAGCTATTCCTTGAAAAGAGACCTCATACTTGAAAAGGTGAAAGGTCAACAGAAGAGAGGAGGACCCTCAATGATGTGGTTTGACACAATGATGGCAGCAATAAATTTGACTATGTCAGTGATGATGAAGATGGTACAGGATGGGACAGGGTTCAGATCGGTTGTCCATAGGGTCTCTCTGAGTCATAATTTACTTGGCACATACCAACAAAGAACCAAATTGCATGAGGGGAGATTCTAACCAGAGGCCTTTGGGTTGGCAGTATAGCCTACTAACTCTGGAGCCTTAAAGCTAAAAACCCCCTGTGCACTTACGTTGTTAGAAAGCTTCACTAGTGAGTGTGAATGAAGCATTAGCAAGAAGAGAGCATGAAATCATTTCTCCCTGTTAAAATATGACATCTTTTCCACAAACAACACATCATTTTCAGGCTGACTGAATTAATGAGTCAGCCTTCTCTTGCCAGTACTAGTCTCTGAGGACTCTCAGTTTTTCTCTGCTCAGCTTTTGGATGACTTTTGCCCAGGACACTTCTTTCCACCCTGATCCCTTTCTTGTCTTTGTACTGAACCATGCCTGTTGATTTACTGTTTCATTTTTCAAGAGCCGAAGTTTCCTACATATAAGTTTTTGATGAGCCCTTCCTACCACTGATACAGACAGAAGCTCTACAATAGATTTTCCTTTCTCCTTTCATCAGTAGCTGGATAGTTGTTTAAACCTCTGGTGTATCTGTGTAATTGATATATGTGGCATGTTGTTGTTGTTGTGCACCATCAAGTTGGAACCGACTTATAACTGACCTTCCAGAGGGTTTTCAGATGCAGTTAATCTCATAGGAGAGGACAGTCCATACTTCTTCCAGCTGGTGGATTTGACCAGTGTGCCTTTGGGATTGCAGCACAAATTTTTAGCACTAGGCCACCAGAGCTTCCTGGATATACCACACAGAAAGTGGCAAAAGGATTCCTTTCAAATGACTCAAGAAATATACTTTTGCAGTGATATAGTGATATTAATATATACATAAAGACATTTTACAACTGCTTATGTTACAGTTATCTATATCTATAATAAAATGTTTGTTAAATGGTGAAAACATAACAACTTCTTATAAACAGTAATATATTTGCTTGAGAAATATACCCATGTGAAAAGATTAATACAAAATAAAATTTCTTAGTACATGTAAAATGCCTGCTTTATAAATCTTACCTTAGTGTGTCTGTACTGTAGAAACCTAAGGTGCCATTTTTGTTTTCCTAAACTATGAATTACTTTGAATGCCTGATGCTTTCTGTTAATTTTATAGTTGGCCAAAGACTCAGGGAACACAGTGGCTATGATTGATAAAGAGAAGAAAAGACTGGCTGAACTTTTGAAGGACTTGGATGATGAAGACTCTGGAATTTCCAGTTCTGAGGTATGTAGAGGCTAATGTTTTATGACCACTACATGTCCTACTTTTGATTTTAATCATGTTATAGACCATCGGAATACATTGTTAATAATTTTAAAGATGATAGGACAGTATTCTGTGCACATCAAAACATTTTCCAACAGAATAAAAAGAAAACATACTGGCAGGGAAAAAAATATTTGGCAATACCATTTCAGACAAGGGTCTCATAACAAAAGTTTATAGAATACTATTTGGCCTCCACAAGAAAAAGACTGATAACACAACTACAAAATAGGGAAAAGACATGGAAAGACTTTTCACAGAGGAAGCTATTTGAATGGCCAATAAACACATGAAGAAATGCTCCAAATCACTGGCAATAATAGAGATGCAAATCAAAACCACAATGAGTTACCATCTCACTCTAATAGCAGTGGCAAAATTTAGCAGGACAGCTAATAAATGTTGGAGAGGCTGTGGTGAGATAGGAACACTTATATAGTGTTGGTGGATTGTAAAGTGGTATATACCACTCTGGAAGGCAGTTTGGCATTTCTTAAAAAATCTGAACATTGAAATTTCCTATGACCCAGCTATTCCACTGCTTGGAGTATATCCCGAGAGAATGAGAACTGAGGCACAAATGGAAACTTGTTCATAGCAGCATTATTCACCATTGCAAGAACATGGAAACAGCCAAAATGTCCAACCACAATAGAACGGATTGAGAAATTATGGTATTCACATGATGGAATACTATGCAGCATGTAGGAGCAATGATTTTGTAAATTACTACCTAACTTGAGAGGGACTGAAGAGCATTATGCTAAGTGAACTCCGTCCCATAAGGACAAATACTGTATAAGATCATTATTGTAGAAATAGATACTTAGTAAGATGCATATGAGGACTCAAGGGGTGGAGAGTAGGAATAAAGGGGTGAGGATGGGCAGGGGGTTATTCATAGGGTTGAACAGTTTGATGGGTGGAGGCAGGGGTGGATTAAGGAAATTGGAAAGACCTAGTATGAAAAACAATGGGTACAGACCTTGTAAGTAAACCAGTATAAAACAAAAAAAAAATTATGTAAAGAAATACTTTTACAAATTTATTTTTACTGAAATTTTCAACTTTATTCTGGATTGATTCATTATTGACCCTTAGAGGATTATTCTGTATAATTACAAAAGTGAGTATACATTGATTATCACAGTACTATGCGGGGGGCAGGTTCTGGATTTTTTTGGTTGGCTGGCTGGAAGCCTCCTGTTGGGAACCGCTGAGAGCCTGATGGGTAACGGGCTTGTGACCTTTTAAAATTCATTTGGGCCCTGAAGCTGCAGGCTCTGGGGCTTGGTTTTAATTGTTTTTGAAATGAACACTCCTAAGTGGTACAGCACTGTTCTGTCATTTCTCTGTATTGAGGTACCTTTGGATTGCTGTAATCCTGAACGTTGTGCCATTGGTCTGTCAAGTGCCATAATGGTTATACATGATTGACAAAGTTTGGTAGAGTTCACAGATTAAGACAGGCTTGGAAGCAGGAGTGATATTCACTTCCTGAACATTGCTGTGGAAGCTCTATGAACTTAGAGAAGGACAATAGTTGTAGAACAAGGTTAAAGTCTTTTGTTTATAGGGTCAGTACTACATGGCACTTGACAACAACAACAACATATAAGCCATGCCCTTGTCTTCCATTTTGGATTTGGATGAAGTGGCTGGACTCTGCACAATGGTGCTCTTGTTTTGGTTGAGGATCTGTGTGGAATATTTGGTGGTTTTTATTTAAGCCTCTTGTTTAGAGTCAACAAGACCTCCAGGAGGACACTTGCATTTAAGGCCAAGCCTTTGTCTCCATTTTGGAGACTGGGTGAAGTGGCTGGACTCTGTATGATGGGCTCTCTTGTTTTGATCGAGGGTCATTGTGCAATGTTTGGTTGCTTTCTATTTAAGCCTCTTTTTTAGAGCCAACAAGACCTCCTGGAGGGCCCTTGTATTTAAAAGTTGGGCTTTAGGGATTATATTTTAATCCCTTTTCACTATATTTTTGAGGAACATTCTTCTAAGTAGTACAGCACTCTTCTGTCAATTTACTGTGCTGAGTCACTCTGGGTTTGTTGTGGCACTGAATCTTGTACCACTGGGGTCTCAAATGCTGTAATGGCTGCCCATGGTGAACAGTGTTTGGTGGAGCTCCCAGTTTAAAGACAGGTTTGAAAGCAAGAGTGGCATCCACATCCTAAACCACGTGTCTCTGGAAACTGTGAACTTGGAGAAACACTAGATCTAGAGAGACCTCAGGTAATTTGTTCATAAAGTTGTGTGCGACTCATCTGCAGTCAAAAACAACAACAACAACAACAACAACAACAACAACAATCAGCACAACAACCTCTGCCTGTAATGCCAGTAATGGGGTTAGTCACTGAATGCATTTTTCTTTATTTTCTGACATTATACATTTTTTTGTAAACTATATCAAGGTATTTCCATACTTGATAGTTCTACCTAGGTTGCCCTTTCTGTTAGTCTGTGTGTGTTCTGTTGTGCATAGGGTTTTCAGAGGCCTGCTATTTCAGAAGTGGGTGGCCAATCCTTCTTCCTAGTCTGTCTTAATCTGAATGTTCAGATTTA